AACTTCATTGACAACCAAACTATTTCCTCATGCAGCTAAGAATCCCCATGTCCTATTTGGATTTTGGTTTGTCTAATCTGCCTAACTTGCTTGTTTCGTCATGTTGATAGTCTCACTTTTACCGACCGATGAGATCGATTTCCAAGTTCGAATTCTGGTCAAGCAAGGTAGTTTCAGTCTCGCAGTTTCACATTTCAAGCAGATGTTCACCAGAAGGTTGAAAGTCCTCATGAAAACTTCTGCTTAGTGGACTGCATTTTTCTCACGCAAATCTCAGTAATCGTTGTCAATCTTTAGCAATGTGTAAAAGCACTCTGCAGCGGACTCAGCACTTTCCCCGTTGACCCGTCAGCCGTTGAATTCTTGACAAGCAAGCCTAGTTGCGTAATTTCTGGAACCCAAAATCAACCGATAGACATCAAGTTCACATTGAGTTCAGGTTGAAATCACCTGGGGTACTTTTACGCATGCTGTTTCTGTTTGATTGGTCCGGAAAAGTTGACAAAAAAACACCCAAAATACAAAAATCATATACGTGATCATTGTGAGAGTGTCTGGTCCCAGATGAGCAGTAATCTTTGCTGTCCTTTGAATGAACTGTTATCACAAATCCTTTTATTGGTGGAATTCATTGGAATTCTTCATTTTTAGCCACATGACATTCACTTCCAAAAGCCTCCCCGAAAAATTTACCCGTTCAGATTTTTCATTCATTTGATTTTTTCCCAAAGAATTCAACTTCGATATCGACCCCTCTGAACAACATGAGATCCAGCATCTAGGTTGCTTTATCCACTGTGCAATTTACGGTTATTGGCCAATCACGTAACTCGACAGATTCAAAATCATGGATCTTCTGACGAACAGGAATATGGAAGTTTTTGGATAGCAGTTCAAACTGTGTGAATTAGATTTGCATAGGGTAAACTGTAGCTCATCGCTGAATCATACGGTTCGCATCATGTGCGACTTTGGTTAGTTGTCCTAGTGATGAATTCTCAGTTGTGGGTCACTGTTTTTGTGGTGGTTAACAGCGTTTTGTCTCAACTAGTGGTGGCTTCATTGCAATGAGCATCATTTCGACGCGGAGTTATTTTCACAGAAAACACCAACTGAGCAGTTACAGACTATTAGAGAGGAAAGCAAGACTCACATATGCACCTTGTTCATAAAAACTGAATATCCTTCATCTTCTTGAACGTGTCTTCCTGAACTTTCACCAGAATGTAAACAAATGCTACAAAGCAATTCCACAAATTTCGTAATGAGTCCCACGTTCCAATGGAAGCGAAGCGGAATTACGAGGGAGAATACTACTCGCATACCTCATCAGTAGCATCCACCGTTACACCAGTAAACCAAATAAACGTAGATTGTTCTGTTCCTTCTTGTTTGGTGCTTTCAACTACAGTATAAGTTTCATGAGTTTCATGTCTCGATGAACATGAACCAATGCAGTGCTTCAGAGATCATCCAAGTTCACGAGGCATAAAGTAAAGCGTTTGTTTAAATATACTACTTGAATGAGTCATCACTTGGCTGAAAAATCCTATCGTCTGTGATCCAAGCGACTCTTATTGAAAAGCTACATAGAGTCTTGAAATTGCACAAAACTACAGAATGTGGGTGAGGCTAATTGAGCAGCTATCAACAAGAGCATTTGGTTCTGTCTCGAAAACACCACGAATTCAAACTGATTGTTTTTTTTGAAAACAAGAGCAAGACTGCAACCACATTCAGGGCAACAAATCAAACTGGTTATCATCTGTTCCGTGTCATTCGAGTGTCTCTTCAGAATCTCCGAGATGTTGTAACAATTACTGGTTGCAGTCAAGGCCTCCATGAAAAATCCTAGTTCACAAAACATCACGACAAAGTCAAATTCAGCATTCCAATGAGCTGCCTGCCGTGGCCTTGTCCCAAATGGCAAAGCAATCGTTTCAGTTTTTAATATTTTTGAAATACCTCGACCGGCTGGTTTTATTTTCTCATGTACAAAACGACCAACAGTCATGGTCCACAATAGTTTCGAATGACGATACCAAAAGTTAAATTGCAATGTAAGCATCAGAGTCTGTCGATTTCCTAGCAACTTTCTGAGAGAATTATACCAAACATGAGCAGAGTCATACATCAATCCTTCAAACTGCTAGACATCTAAATTTATTATCCAGTTTTGGTGGCAAACAATTAAAAAAGGGGCTTATCTCTCCCCCAAAAAATGGTCATAATTGGATAATTGGAATGTGGAGTCAGGGAAACAGAGGCTAATTAGACGAACACAATTAGGTTCTCTGTTATTTCATCTAAGTACGTCTAAGTTACAAAATTCTACGGAAACTCAACGTCCGGGAGAGTTCAAACTCCTGCTCAACCTCAGTTGCTACACAACACAATTTCAAGTTGTTTATTTCGCCCATCGCTACATGCCCAAAAAGAGCAACTATAATGAATCGTTTGCGAAAGCAACCGGAAGTCACTCACCACACAGTGTCGCCTATGAGTTTTGCACGTTGCACGCAACCTGTATGCCGTCGGTCTAAAATTGGCAAAATTTTACTTGAACGGAAGTGTTCTTGCCTGTCGCCACGTCTGCAAAAGTACCGCACAGCACTCTGGGCATTACATCTACACGGGAAGAATGGATTTCGTTACGCACGCACAGTATGCAGCCAAAATGATCTGTTTCGTCAAAATGCCAACTTCCTCCTCTAGTACACAATCGAAAGACAACCGGTGGAATGGTAGTGTTGGATCGCACAAAAATGATGAAAGCAGAACAATATAGAAACTGGTTTTCAAACGGTATTTGGTGGTATCGAGTGAAATAAAAAATATAAGAAATAAAATATAAAATTAAAATTAAAAAATTAACAAAATTAAAATAAATAAAAAAATGAAATAAAATATTGAGTAAAATATAGAATCAATCAAAATTTATTCCTGTCCGAATCCCAGCCCTAAATTTTACACACACACAGACACAGTCGATCGATTAGTGGGTGAGGGCTACTGGTACTAAATGAAACCAAATTAATTAATTTCTTATCTAGTACCAAATTTGGAAAATTCGTTTCTCTGCCGAATCCCGGCGCGCTTATCGCGGAATCAAAAGGATGACTTGTCAGTACTATTTTGTTTTTTTCTGGTTCTTTTTGTTCAAAGTTGTCGGCGGCAATTTCATGAACATGGCACATTCCAAGGGGGTAGAGTATGCGAACCCCTCCGAAGAAAGATCAGTGAACTTTGGCTATACAAATGATACGGTTTTGTTGCTGTTTTTTGATTTTTTGCGCAAACTACATCGGAAAAAGTAGTCAGAATGTTTTGAGACAGAATATCCCATGTTTTGGCAAGCCCTTTCTACTTTCAAAGTGTAAAACCATGCCTCACAGTTTCTCTCTTTCTTGTGCTATCCTGAAAATTTGGAATAAAAAGCATAAAATGGCGGATCAGTTCAAATAGCTCGGCATCTGCCTAAGCCATGATTTTAGTATGACGCCAGTACGCGGACTCACAAACGAATCTCGCTGAAGCTGAAGGGCCGTGTCTTACAACTTTGCTGTTGCGAGACAGTCCAAGCTGGGGATTTAGGACATCTTCAGGTGAGCTCATGTAGCGAGTAGGCGACAAGATGGAACATAGGCAGCTAGATGGTAACGAGTGAGAATTGTCTGAAAACCGGATTCGACCGACTAGGTTGAGGTGTCTCGGACTTATATTACGTACGTCCTATCAGCGTCTAATTAAGAAAGCACTGTTTTTCCGTTCCAAGCCTTTATAGGAAAAAAGTTTGCAAGGAACAGACAAAACGAATCTCGGATCTACTCGCATTCGTGGCTGTGTCTACCTGATGAAAGCAGAACAATATAGAAACTGGTTTTCAAACGGTATTTGGTGGTATCGAGTGAAATAAAAAGTACATAAAATAAAACATAACATTAAAATAAAAATTAAAAAAATAAAAAAAATAAAATATTGAGTAAAAGACAGAATCAACCAAAATTTACTCCTGTCCGAATCTCAGCCCAAATTTCAAGTGAATTATCAGGTCTCACCGCCTTAAATTTTACACACACGCAGACACAGTCGATCGATTAGTGGGTGAGGACTACTGGTACTAAATGAAACCAAATTAATTAACTTCTTATCTAGTACCAAATTTGGAAAATTCGTTTCTCTGCCGAATCCCGGCGCGCTTATCGCGGAATCAAAAGGATGACTTGTCAGTACTATTTTGTTTTTTTCTGGTTCTTTTTGTTCAAAGTTGTCGGCGGCAATTTCATGAACATGGCACATTCCAAGGGGGTAGAGTATGCGAACCCCTCCGAAGAAAGATCAGTGAACTTTGGCTATACAAATGATACGGTTTTGTTGCTGTTTTTTGATTTTTTGCGCAAACTACATCGGAAAAAGTAGTCAGAATGTTTTGAGACAGAATATCCCATGTTTTGGCAAGCCCTTTCTACTTTCAAAGTCTAGAACCATGCCCCACAGTTTCTCTCTTTCTTGTGCTATCCTGAAAAGTTGGAATAAAAAGCATAAAATTGCGGATCAGTTCAAATAGCTTGGCATCTGCGTAAGCCATGATTTTAGTATGACGCCAGTACGCGGACTCACAAACGAATCTCGCTGAAGCTGAAGGGCCGTGTCTCACAACTTTGCTGTTGCGAGACAGTTCAAGCTGGGGATTTAGGACATCTTCAGGTGAGCTCACTGTAGCGAGTAGGCGACAAGATGGAACATAGGCAGCTAGATGGTAACGAGTGAGAATTGTCTGAAAACTGGATTCGACCGACTAGGTTGAGGTGTCTCGGACTTATATTACGTACGTCCTATCAGCGTCTAATTAAGAAAGCACTGTTTTTCCGTTCCAAGCCTTTATAGGAAAAAAGTTTGCAAGGAACAGACAAAACGAATCTCGGATCTACTCGCATTCGTGGCTGTGTCTACCTTGATCCTGCTTACACGGGCTAGAAACCTCGTTAATGTGCATATTGTCATTTCCTAGTAAGACCGTCCAGCTTATCTGCGAACAGACGTTGTACGGTGTTCAAGCTTGAGCCCACTGTGGCCACAGGGATTGCTCGTAAAGGAAAACCTGATTCCAACTGCGCCACATTTTGAACTGCCTGTATTCTAATCATTGAAGTTGCAATCCCAGCAGGAGCAATGGTTCGAAAAGTTGAAAGTGCTCTCATGGTGGTACCAGATACTGATAGCCGATAGAGGCTATGTGGAGTTGATGTTGCTGTAACCAGTGGAACGCCGGTCGTACCACGCCGAGTACTAACAGAATCACGCGTCACTCTCTACGCAAAAAATAGGAACGAATAGGGGAAATGAACTGTGATGTTGTTCCCAGTAGAAACGGCCAGAAACAAGTAGTTGAAGTCTGAAATTCCAGTTCACTATATAGGGGGAGGTGTTTGTGATGAACTTGCTGAGATGTTTCCGTATCCACCTCCTGCTTGGCGAGAGTGTAGTTGGGTACTGTCAGATTGTTTCTCTCAGTGGGGAGATGCAAGCCATGATGTACACGAATAGTGGGCAGTGGATTACAGTTCTTTTCCGCATAGGCCAGTGTGGTGTGGTGGAACAAACTGAAGCCCATCACTAATTGACTCAATGGTGAGTTTCATGCCACCCTCTTCAATAGTCGTATGTCCGGTGTGATTCGCTACTGCCTTAGCGTAATTTGTGTGCATGGCTTATGTCGGTTGAGACAGTTCCTTAATGTGACGAGATTTAAGATGTGTTCACTTCAGAAGAGCTTGGTAAACAATAAATAAATTTTATTTGGGCAACATTTTGCTTTTGACACAAAAGCTTCATCAGGCCAAGTGAACAGGTCACCAAACTGGCCAGGTTGTAAGACAGACGGGGACCAATCAGTAAGTCCTCTTCACACTAGACCAGCTTTGAGTGTTCTTGTTGGCTAGCATGGGTGCCAAACCCCTGAATTAA